AAAAACTCTTTGATACATACTCTCTGTTTCGAATGCATATATATACAAACAATCAATCAAAATGAGATGAAAAACAGACAAAACCATTTGAGAAAAACCAGTCAAAGTGCCCTAAAAAGCTGACATTTTTTTCCTGATAAAAATCCAAGAACTCTGATATACACTCTCTCTGTTTTCAAACACACACAATCAATCAAAATGAGATGAAAACAGACAAGCCCATTTGAGAAAACCAATCAAAAAGCCGAAAATAAATAAATAAATAAGCTGACCTTTCTTCCTGATAAAAAAACCAAGAACTCTTGATATCCACACTCTCTCTGTTTCAACCTGACAGGCCTAGAGAAAAATTAGAACTTTCCACTGTAGATCAGAAGGAATCTCCTTTACAGTGCCCAATCAAAGAACAAATTAATATTATCTCTAGGGAGAAAGAAAGAGAGAGGGCCTATAAGATGTGTTTGATGAGAGCAGGGAATGTGCTGAAACTTGAAAAGAAAAATCTTACACAAGAAAACAGGGGAGAGATTTAAGAAAACTCAACAAGAAGCCATGTGCAGTTGACAAGAGAAATTATTGCAAGAAAAAGAAAAAATTGGAAAAATTGCTGCTCATTATTATACTGCAAATTTACAGTTCACTGTGTGTGTGTGTGTGTTGGTTGGATTCGTGGTATCATTTCATCTGCTGGCTCTTGCGTTTGTTAAATAAAAATGTCAAACTTTATTTTAATGATTAATCCTCGTACTGTGGGTTGCTTTCTCTCTCTACCCTGTGCCGGAGTAGTGTGTGAGAGAGAGAGAAGGTAATTTAAATTGGAGGAGATGAAGTTTGCTCCCCGCCATGTACGAAGAGGGACGCGTTGGGGCGGCGCGTGTGACGCACCGCCGTTATTTAAAAAGTTTTTGCTTTCTGTGATTCTGTTTTCTGTTTCACCGCAAGAGTTTTGAACTTAATTTTAAGTGCAAAAAGGTAAAAAATTGAGATATTATTCGGATCGAGTTGTTCGCAAATATGATTCGGTTTGAATCACGAAAGCTCGTAGTCAACTTGTTTGTCTATTTAATTGGAACAAATTCAAACCATTGGTTGAGTCTGTTTGGTAAAAGAAGTTGAGTTGAGCTCGTTTATAAATAGTTCATTTTATTTAGTTGTTTGTTTATTATGTTTTTATAAATTTCGAACGAACAATTGAGACATGCATGTTTTGCGAAAGCAAAAAATATGTCCATAAATAGCTCATTCGTATATTAGAAAAACAATAGCTCGAATATGAAATATTCGACTCTACTGGACGTTGATGAAAATGAAAATGTGCTTGTAGATATTGTGTTTATGTTCACTAGGTATTGTGCTTTCAATGATAAAAAATAAGAAATATATTATTATATGCGTGATTTAATCTGAATAAGTATTTTTGAGGAATAAAAGAATTAGTCATTCATGATATTGGCCCTTTTTTTAGTCTTGGTTAAATTCCGTATGTTGTGAAACGGGAACAATACGAATTAAAGACGATAAAGTAAAAGACACAAGATTTACGTGGTTCGGCAATATGCCTACGTCCACGGCGGAGCAGAGATCTTATTATTATTCACGATATCCCAAATACATCAATACACCATGTATTTATATCATATCCCTACAAGGTATAAATTTACATAAATACCCGCGGGGGCTCCGCCCCCGCACCGCTTCCCTCGCTACGCTCGCTCCGTTCCGCGAGCAGGCATCGGCCTGCCTCCTTCCTTTGTCAATATATGAGCCATATAAAGTAGAATTTTGAACACGTGGTGAAAAATACAATCATAAACTATTTTTACTAAAAAGAAATAATAAATAAAAAGTTAAAACCACGTTACCTAGTTAGTGGTTTAGAAGAATCTTACTTGCCATATGGATTAGTGTAAGTAATTAATGCAAGTAGGTTAGTTAAAGGTCTTTGGATCTTGCAAATGTCAAGGTTGTAGGCACGTGGACCTTTTCACTAGTTACAAACATTTTGAACACTTCTAAATTATACTAAAATTACAATAAATAAATAGTTCTTTAAGAATCTCCACAGTCCACAATTGTTTCTGATTTAATATAGCAGACAAAATGAAATTCAATTATTAGATTTCTTAATTTGATAAATTTGTAGAGTTTCATTTAATTGAAGATGAGTACTGCAAACTATATAACTATTTGAGGGTGATTGCTTAAATTAATTTGATTTTTGAGATGTAAATATACTTGAATTGAAAGCACCATATGCAAACAAAGAATGAGTTTTGAAACATTGTCAAATAGGTTTGTTGTTTCAAATCGAGCTGATTGTGAAAACAGCTTGAGTGGGCTCGTTTGTTTATTTGAAAGAGTTGAGCTCATTCATGAATGACTCATTTATTTTTTAGGAAAATTTATAAATTAATTTTGAATGAACAGTCGATCGAGTTGGATATAATAGTGAACATATCGTTTATGATCTTGGATTTGTTAAAAGAGTCAAACCGAATTTCTTTGAGATTAAACGGCTGAACTCAACCCGTTTGTTAAATTGAATCTTTATAAGTTTAAACGGCTGAAGAAAACCGTTTGTTAATTGAGTACAAAATTAATCGCAAAATGCTTGTAAAGAAAAAAATAGTACGAGGAAGACTTTGATTTTATTATATTATTGTATTTATTTAATTTAGCAAGTAATTAGGAACTAAAGAAAAAAAAAGTCTGTGACTTTTGACAATCGAAAATTGTTAATCAAGAAGAGTACAATTATAATTGTCTACTTCCATCCCTCGTGTATTAAACAATACAACTAGCTTCAAAAGTTGCAATAAAATGTTATTTTGATGATTAATATTCAATCATGATCCATGTTGAAAGCGAATTTGTAATTAATCAAAAATGACTAATTCCACTATAAATTACATGGTGTTGATAAATGGATTTAACCAACGTAATTAGGATGTAAATGATGGTAAGAATTGCAGAAAGTTGAATTTTTATTGAATTTATTGAAGTCGGTAATAATATAGAACAAGTCGGTATATTAGTACAAGAGGTCGGTTTCAGAGAAAAACCGAGGTACTTAATGCTTGAATTTAATGTGTCGGAAATCGGATCCTCGTACTGAATTAAATGCGCCTATTTATAGTAATATTCGGCACATCCTTCGAGGATATGCGGCGGCATTTAATGTGAGTTGACAACGTAGGGGCGACTACGACATAAGTGGTCGTGTAGGCAATGATGACGGCATGAGTGCTCCATCAGTTGATTGACAGGCGTCATATTTGATCGAACCTAAAGTCGGTTTTCTTGGAAGTCGGTTCCTTTGCAAGGTGCACATCCTCCCAATCCTGTGATGAATCCGATATATCGGGATATCGTCTTAGTACCGAGGTGGTCCCATAAACAACTCCTCATAATTTGATAATTTCGATGATCAGTATAAACATTCTACATTAATCTCCTCAAGGAGCTTTTAATGATCCTGATTTGAATCGGATATTAACACATGGTAAATACTATCATGTGATTAACTACTTTAACATATGTAGTTTAATAGTACTTAATAAAACCGTTCGTCAAAAAGATATTTCAATTATTTCAAACTAAATCTTGAATGGAAGTAACAATCACAATTCACAAGAAACCTTGAGGTTTTGGTGAACAAATAGAGAAATTATATTATTACATTTTTTTTTTTTTGGTCATAAGAAAATTTTCTACGTTTTTTTTTTTAAATATCACGATTTAGGTACTTGAATTTAATATCACTAATTTATTCACGATACAAGACTTATGCATATGTAATGTTGTTCGTCATCACGTGACGACTTTTTGCGTAAGTCACTACACGACATTTAACGTTTTTTTAAATATGTTTTGATAAATTATAAGATTATTTATAAATTACTTTTGCTGATATAACTGTTACATATAATTGAAACTCAATTGATAATTAATTGAAATTTCGGCCAAATTAGTTGTATCTGTGTAGTGCGTGCATAAAGCTCAAGACTATCATTTGTGTTGAGTATACAATGTTTTTATTTTAGTAAAAAATACAAATTTTTTAGCATTATATGGAAGAAAATTAACATGACATCATATAATATTTCGATGGACCGGATGATAAATAATTAGTTTCACGTAACTCAAGTATATTATAAAAGGGTCGATATATCAGTTGTAAGTTTGATGTTGAAATTTGAAGGATTTCTCAATTCTCATAATAATTTATCGTGTAGTCGTATTTAATATTATCTTTTAGTATATAATTTATATGATTATTATCTTAGTAACATGGGTTATATATAATATGTGTTGCTAATTGCTACAAATCATTTCCATGATGAATTGCTACAAATCATTTCCATGACATCATTGAAGTAATGTTAGGCAATATAATGTTAGAAGGACATGATATTTTAACAAATCTATGTTGTAATGAGAAATTATGTTTATTAATAAATAATAAAATTTTAACATAAATAAATATAAGTCATTTCACACTGTTAGTATATTTTTTGAAAAATGTACAAAAGTTCGATTCATCTAATTATTAGTCATTCTAATTAACAACATTATTTATGTCAAGGGAAAAACTTCACGTGGGACGATAAAAACGAACAAGACAAATATATACTTTTACCGAAAAAAAAAATATTGTAAAACTAAATATGAAGTCTTGATTTTCTTCAAAATAAAGA